ATTTTCCAAGTGTAAACAGTTCCATGTTTATCTGTGAATGTCACAGGTATTGTCATCAAACTTTCCCCCTCTCTTCCCCAGATCTTTGTCTGCTTTTCCTCTTGTGCCTATTAAACATGTACATGTGGGAATAGGGACACGGATTTGCCTCTTTGATTTTTTAAATCAAATTTTGCTGTCTTTGCACAGCAATTATGAACTGTACACTATTTTGTATACTCATGTTGTAGGGATGTTTTATATCAAAGCTATTGTGTGTTTACAGATAAGCAGAAAGCTTTGTGTATTTGATTGTATATGATGGGAGGGGAGGACATTGGTTGTATATATCTGTGCTTTTGTAATTTTTTTTAAACTCTAAGAGGAGCTTAGATTTTAGCCATGTAACTTATATAAAACATTATTTTGTATTCTTACTGTGTACAGATTTAAATATGTATATTTTACAAATGAAGCAAATGCCTTTTTAAAAAAGTCTGCAAGGCTGAAAATTTTGATAGAATTGGAATGTTTTTTTAAAAGCATTCATAGTTAAGTATTCGCATCCTGTTATTTATGAAGTATTTGCATGAAGGTGTGTCCAGGCATGCTTATGTGGAAGGTACACCCACTAAAATTTGCTGTGTTGAAACTTTGCACGTCAGTAAAAGCTACCCTATATGTCTCCAATGCCAGTTTACTTTAACAAGCATGGGCAAGTTACTGGCTAGATGGTGGGTGTCAGCTGCAAATTGACAACTTTATTTAATTCAGAATGAACCGTCTGAAGATAGCAGAAGATGGGATGAGCATCTTGAAGGTCACAAAGATTCTTGTACCAGTAAATACCACTTATCTGTAGTTTATCTGTAAGGATGCAGTTACCTTTCATATACACACACTCCATTTCACAGATTAAGAAGTGAAATAATTGTTTGGTCTTGTCCTATTTGAGGACGACTTCTTTCCTATGGAATAGCTGCTCCAGCAAGAGGCCTTCAGTTAGGAAGATAAAAAGGATTGCTGGTGGCCTTGTGAAATGCCAATTATTAGTTTGCCATTAGACCAGTTTTACAAAGCAGTAGTTTCCACCACTGTCATACGACTCAGCAAATAAGAGGGAGGTATTAATCAAATAAATAAATAATAAGTAAATATCAGCATTATTCCCTGATAGCCTCAATTATAGTGATGAAACAAAAGAAACTTCAGGGTCAGAAGTCTTTAATTCAAGCAAACCTCAGTTGGATCGCAGTCTTCTGATTAAAACATAGGGCTGTGCAAAGCTTTGAGGCAATGTTGGAATTCAACCAAGCTTCAGCTGAATCACCCAGTCAAAGCAGATGTGTGAACCAAAGCAGCCCCCCCCCCCCCGCACAAGCAAGAAATTGAATCAGTGGCCTTTGTAAAACTTGTGCCTTTTGAAATACTTTGCAGCTTCTGTGGTTTCCCAGCTGCTTCTGGGCGGGTGTCAGAATCCCATACATTGTGGGGATGTTGTGGGTCTGAGGAGGGCTCTCTGACACTGGCATGAGTAGCTGGCCAATGAGTACCATACCTCATCTATTGTGTGTGGCATGGCTAGCACTGCTTTGGGATTCAGTGGCAGCTTCTTGACCGTGGCCAGCAAGAAGCTTCACTTGGTTCTCTTGTGTGCTAACGGGATACCCAGTTGAGAGTTCAACTTGACTGTCAGCAGTTCGACTATGAGTTCAAGACCAACCATTCTCATACTTGCTCTTGGGTCAAAACTTATTTTGAAATTCTATGGCTGGAGCAGGTTTATGCCTAGCAAGGAGTGAATGGATGCCAGCAAACACTTGCAGTTGCTGGCCCAAACATTTCCTGGTTTTAAAAATAGCGAATGGCAAAAGGAAGTGAGGAGCAGCTGGCCCTTTAAATCACAAACCAGCCAGATGTGCCCAGAGAGAGTCACTGGATAAAGAAAAAGAAGGGGGGCTGGTGTGGGTCTTCCGGGCTGTGTGGCCGTGTTCTTGAAGTTGTGGACAAAAGGGTCACATCACCCTGGGCACAGAGAGAACTGCTCTTGTCTGTGCTCCTGCACTC